GCTGAACTGCCCAGCAATTGCTAGCCTGATGGGCGGCTGCAGCACAGGGAACTTAGGGGAGTGGGAAGCTGATGGTGGGCTGCCAGTCCACCCTGGTTACAAGCCCCCACCAGCTAGCTGCAATGGGCTGCTCTTCCTGGACAAAGCAGGTGGTTGCCAAACGACGTTAGAAGGGAGCATTGCACAACTTTAAACGAGCATGTTCCCTAATTGATCAGCAACGTAATAACGTTAACTGGGACGACTTTAAGTGAGGAGTTACTGTACTGTTCTCCCACAGAATTTTTACTTTTGTTCCTTGTTTTGTTGAAGTGGGAGTAGACTGGCTCTTCGCTGACAAGCCCGGTCTGAACTGCATATAAAAGTATGAAAAGTGCTTATCTTGTTTAGCCTAACCAAAAGAAGGCTGAGGGGAGATATGATTGCTCTCTATAAATGCATCAGAGGGATAAATACCAGTTAGTGAGAGCAGTTATTTAAGTTAAGCACTAATGTGGATACAGGAACAAATGGATGTAATCTGTCCATCAACAAGTTTAGGCTAGAAATTAGGTAAAGGTTTCTGACCATCAGAGGAGTGAAATTCTGCAACAGCCTTCCAAGGGGAGCAGAGGAGGCAAAAACCTAATTGGCTTCAAAACTGAACTTGATAAGTTTATGGAGGGGATGGTATGATGGCACTGCCTACAATGGCATAGAGCCATGCTGTGACTCCTAGCAGCAAGTATCTCCAATGGCCGATGATGGGACACTAGATGGGGAGGGCTTTAAGTAACTACGGAGAATTCTTTTCCAACGGAGAATTCTTTTCCAGGTGTCTAGTTGGTAGGTCTTGTCCACATGCTCAGGGTCCAATCGATCATCATATTTGGGCTGGGAAGGAATTTCCCCTCAGGTTAGATTGGCAGAGACCCTGAGGTTTTTTTGCCCTCCTCTGCAGCATGAAGCATGGATCACTTGCTCTTTAGACTAGTGTAAATTGTGGATTCTGTGTAACTTTAAATCTTTAAAGCATGATTGGAGAACTTCCATAACTTAGCCAAAGGTTACGGATCTATTACAGGAGTGGATAGGTGAGCTTCTGTGGCATGCAATGTACCGGAGGTCAGACTAGATCATCATGATGGTCCCTTTTGACCTTACAGTCTATGAGTCTAAAAAAGAGAGGTTCATTTGGTTTGGTGCTTTGAACACTTTTGGGCTAGTGCAGGTGGGGAGAGGGGCAGAGGAGCAGCAGTGGTGGAAAAGGGACCTGAAAAGAGGTGATGGGAAGGAAAGGAAACAAGTGGAGAAATGAGGGGGAAAAGCTGAAATGGACCAAAGCAGAGGAGTCTGGAATAAAAGAGCTCGGCTGGGACCGGGAGAAAGAAACTCAGGAGCATGCAGGACATGGGGCAGCCAGAGGAGGGACTGGTGACCCTGAAGAGCTGTTCTCCATGGAGTTGTAGGTCAAGAGAAGGCGGATGGACATTTGAACAACTGGGAATCCAAGCCTAGGTCAGGATGGCTTGAAGAATTCCCCAACTTTTACTGCACCTGCAGGTAGGATGAGTGGGGAAGAAGAGAAAAAATGGGATTCTGGGTAACTCTGAGGCTAGGGAAATAGGTAAGAGGGAAAAGAGAAAGCAGTTAAGAGAAGAAATGGGGAGAGGTTAAAATGAGGGGAGACTCAGAAGGGAGAGAAATGCAAAGGCCGAGGGAGCTGTTTTCATCCTTGCTCCCACCCTGCTGTCGGGGGACTTCTGGGCATTCCCCTTACAACACATACCAAGCCACAGAGACTGAGTATTTTCCCCCAGTCATCATGCTCCCTAGCATTGGGGTGGGGCACCCAGGAAAACTTCCCTTTCTCTCCAAGGCTTGGTTAAGCAGAGCTTCCACACAGCTTTCCCTTCCTGCTCCTAACTCAACCTGCCTCCACCACATTGGGGTGGGGGTGGGGCTAGCTGTGCAAAGCTTCCTTCTTTTCTTGGTGCAAACACCATCATGGAGACAGTAGCTGCTGGTTTCCAGACAGAGAGGCAGCCCCAGTGAACACCTGTGAGGGCTGTGAACACCTATGTGTATAATTTAAAGAGACAAGCCCCATTTAAAAACAATGAGAATTATTTTAATAGCTTTGCCAGGCTGGGGTCAAGAGCTTCCCATATGATTTCATATTATCGCTGTGAGCCAGTCTGATTGTGTTGGGTAGGGAAGAGATGGGGGAAATACTAAAGACACCGGAAGATGGGATCCAGAGAAAGATACAAGGTCACAGAACTGATATAAGGGAGGAGGTCAAAACAGTTAAGGGTGAGGTGGGGTGAAAGAATGGAAGATGAAAAGTGGGGAATGGAAAGGAAAGCCACACCATTTTAAGCTTAGAAATCTTTTATTTTTTACTATATTTGCTAAAGTCACATGAATGCTTATGGTTGGCCCTGTTTATTTGAGTTTACTTTTTGTCTAAAATGGCTTTGTAAAAGTATTTTCATTCTTTCTAAAGTGCAGTTACATTACTGATAAGATGTAGCTAAATCTGTTTTTATAAGAGCAATATAAGCCATTTTGCGTGCAGGCATTCACAACTGAAATCTGTGCAGAGCCATATTTCCTTCTTCCACTGTAATGGAAAATAGAATTGTACAGTTGGCTTTATGTGCTATGCTGCAATAAAATTACCTTCTACCTAGTACTGGATGATGTTCTTAAGTTTAGGGTGGTGCTTTAATCTTTTTTTTGGGGGGTGTCAAGGCTCCTTCCCCACTCTGAACTTTAGCGTACAGATGTGGGGGCCTGCATGAAAACTTCTAAACTTAACTACCAGCTTAGATCTGGTAAACTGCCACTACTCCCAATGGGCTAACTCCCTTCCCTGGGTAGCCTTGAGAGCCTCTTTCACCAACTCCCTGGTGAACACAGATCCAACCCCTTGGATCTTAAAACAAAGGAGAAATCAACCATCCCCCCTCCTTTCTCCCACCAACTCCTGGTGGATCCAGATCCAACCCCCTTGGATCTAAAAACAAGGAAAAAATCAATCAGGTTTTTAAAAAGAAGGCTTTTAGTTAAAGAAAAAGGTAAAAATCATCTCTGTAAAATCAGGATGGAAAATAACTTTACAGGGTAATCAAACTTAAAGAGCCCACAGGAACCCCCTCTAGCCTTAGGTTCAAAGTTACAGCAAACAGAGGTAAACACCCTAGCAAAAGGTACATTTACAAGTTGAGAAAACAAAGATAAAACTAACACGCCTTGCCTGGCTGTACTTACAAGTTTGAAATATGAGAGACTTGTTCAGAAAGATTTGGAGAGCATGGATTGATGTCTGGTCCCTCTTAGTCCCAAGAGCGAACTCCCCCGAAAACAGAGAGCACAAACAAAAGCCTTCCCCCCACCAAGATTTGAAAGTATCTTGTCCCCTTATTGGTCCTTTGGGTCAGGTGTCAGCCAGGTTACCTGAGCTTCTTAACCCTTTACAGGTAAAAGGATTTTGAAGTCTCTGGCCAGGAGGGATTTTATAATATTGTACACAGGAGGGCTGTTACCCTTCCCTTTATAGTTATGACAGGGGGGTGGCATGACCATGGCTGGAATGCTACTTGGTGAACTGTATAAAGGGCCAGTGGAGAGGGAAGTAAAACTGTGGAAAGTAAGTGTAGGCTGTGCGTGGATTCTACTTGGGGAATCAATGGAATCAATCAGAAGGAATGCAAACCTCCGCTCAGAAGGAAATCCAGGAGGGCTAGAAGTGAACTAGTATGAGTAAATTATAAAGTTCAAAAGGTCATTTGAGCCAAACAGAGTGGAGCTCACCTTGGAGCTGCAGCAACCAACCAAGAGTTCCCCTCAGCCTGCAGAAACATATGTATAATATATGGAGATATACCTATCTCATGGAACTGGAAGGGACCCTGAAAGGTCATCGAGTCCAGTCCCCTGCCTTCACTAGCAGGACCAAGTACTGATTTTGCCCCAGATCCCCTAAGTGGCCCCCTCAAGGATTGAACTCACAATCTTGGGTTTAGCAGGCCAATGCTCAAACACTGCCCCCCGTACATCGTTATCTGACAGCTCACCACCCCGGATTGCTATCTGTCACTAGATAACCAGTTTGGTGTTTATAGGTCAACTGTCAGGGCTGTTGTCATGGAAGTGTGAGCAGGTATTAACAGGATGCTGCTGCCACAGGTCATAAAGGCTAGGGCACTGCACAGAAGATTATCAATGTCTTTGCATGGCTGGGGTTCCCAAACCGTATTGGGGCCATTGATGGGACCAGTGTATGCTTTGCCCACCATACCAGGCCTCAGAGTTCATCATCAGAAGTCCTCCAAAGATTTGTTGATTACTGCAGCAGAAGCATCAATATTGATGTAGGGTGGTCTGGAAAGGTCCATGATGCCAGACGCTTTGGAAAGTCAGGCCTCTTTGCTACAATGAATACGGGATATTTTGCTCCCTGGACCACTATAGATATCAATGGTGTTCTGATTCCCCATGTCATTCTGGGAGACCCAGCTTCCCCTCTGCTTCCCTGGCATAGGAAGCCTTTTACTGGACACTCGGATGGGAGAAAGGAGCTGGTTACCTGTACCCTGAGTAGCTACAGAACTCCAGTGGGGTATGTATGTGAAGGCTGAAAGGGAAATGGTGATGGCCCGATGATGAAGTTGGAGGCTGCTGAGCAATATCTGCCTCATGTGATAACTGCTCACTGTATTTTGCACCACATCTGTGCATGGATAAGGAAATACAGCTCAGATTTAGCTTATTTCAGTCTTTAGGAATTTCCCCAGTGTATTAATATGTAACCTACACCACCATATTGAGCACAGTTATGCAAACTTAATTTACACAGCAGTCCATATATACTTGCCATAAAATATACAAAATGTACAAACAAAATGCCCATAAACAACTATATAAATAGTGCTGCTGTGCCACCATTTTTATGACAAAAATTGTGGAGAAAGGGACAATGAGGGTGTTCAAGAGCTTGGTTCTTTTATTTCTAGTCCCTGTAGTGAGAGGTTCTATGGTTCAGCTGAAAAATGGTGGCTATGAAGATATTGTTATTGCAATTAACCCTGAGTTACCAGAAGATCACAATATCATTAGAAACATAAAGGTAAGAACTTTGGTATATGTATTGTCCTTCTATGACATTCAGACTTCTTGGTTAGTTCTACCTCTAGATTAGCTGTAATCTTAAAAGACCAGTTCCAGCTCCCATTAATGACAATGTGAGGTTTTCTCTTGATTTTCATAGGAGCTAGATCAATTCTATTATTACTAAATTTGTTCTTAACTTGAATTTTTATTCAAATGCATTTGTTAATGAAATGAGTGTACTAATCTCTTGAAGTTTAACAGGAATATTATGGCTCAGGGTCAGGCTGATTCTATGTATCACCTCCTTCTTAATTACTTCTTTCCAAAACATGAGTACCTTCGACTAGAGAATCTCCAGAACATGGATATTTAATTGTCAATTGCTGCACCTCCATTACAATGTTTGCCATTTGCTTTTATCCCTCCTTTCCCCCATCTTTGCAGGCATTCACTGTGTTCTTAAAAACCCTTGGTGTGTGTGTGTGTGTATATGTATATGTATGTGTGTGTGTGTGTGTGTGTGTATGTATATAGTGATATTTCTGTTTTTAGTTATTCTTTAAGTTCTCAGTGTAGATCTTTGCTCCATGATCACGATTTGGTCATTGAGCATTCACTTGCTGTAAAGAGAACAATAAACTGAGGGGGGGGCATAGCCATTAACTAGTGACCCCCCAAACTATTCAAGAGAGGTGGGGAAGGAGCAAGGAGGAGGGGAACAGGAAAATAGTGACAAAGTAGTGCCCACTGTAGAGGCAGGAGAAAGTAGAACCTAATAGAAGTGGAGCAAAAAAATGAGGAATCCCAGGGAGAAGAAAAAGGAAACTACAGGTTATTACTTACTATTTATTATTTTATTTGATTCATCAAGCACCACAGTACACTTTACAGATTAATGAAAAGGACTGGTCCAGGACTGAATCATCCTGCACCTCAAGCCCATGTAACTTTTTTGAGGAAATTTCATGTTTGGGTGGAGGTTTTATTTTAAGGGATAAGCCCTGAGCAAGGAGCGGTGTATATTTGTGCCCTTGGAGAAATACAGAGTGTCCCAGAGTTATAATTTGGTTTCTATTTCCATCATGGAAAAAGGAATCTGCCCCAGCCCTTCCGTTGGCCAAGATTGGTTTCTTTCTATACCTTCACGTACTTAGTGTTACTTTATGTACTCTTGTTTCCTAGCAAGGCTAAACTACTCATTGCCTCTACAGTTCAATTTGTAATTCATAAATCTATTCTTTTCTTTCCCTACCAGGACATGGTCAAGGAGGCTTCTACTTACTTGTTCAATGCTACAAAACAGAGATTTTTTTTCAAGGCTGTAAAAATTATAATTCCTCAACACTGGCTGCCAAAATCTGAGTATTTAAGTGTAAAAACAGAGTCATATGATAAGGTAAGACTTAGAGCGCTCTTTACAAACCAAAAGTATTTGTTGTGTTCATACGCGTGAGACATAGGGTCTTGTCTACAAGGTGGAGTAAAAGCACACTATGGAGGTATGATTTCTAAACTACACTAACATGTCACTCATTAATTGGTCCTTGTAGACCCTGCTGGTGTGTATTCCCTAGTGCACTTTAACGTAGTGCTGCACTTTAGAAATCACTCCTCTGTAGTGCATGTTACCGCACCGTGTAGACAAGCCGTTTTTTCAGTAATGTAGAAATATAAATTGCTCTTTTTAGAATTTGTATTGCCCTCTAATGCCCAGTCCTGCAGTCCTTACCCAGAGGAACAATCACTGGGAGTGATTGCTGCAGGATGAGCCCATTCAACAGGGTCATCTGTCACCCTCCATTTCCTGATGCTCTTTAAAAAAGGGCTATTTTATTTTTAGGCAGATGTTATCGTGGCTAATCCTTACTTGAAGTACGGAGATGATCCCTACACGCTGCAATATGGAGGATGTGGGGAAAAGGGACGATATATTCATTTCACTCCAGACTTCCTGTTAAATGACACTTTGTATAACATCTATGGATCACGAGGTAGCACCATCTATTGGACTTTAATTTTCTGCGTTTGTTGGTATAAATATGCAGTGGCCGAGAATTTCCAAAGTGACTAGTGATTTGGGATGCCTCCATTTTTGGTTGCCCAACCTGCCTAACTTTAAAAGAGCCTCTTTTTTCACAAACTGTTGAACATCAGGCTCCCTGGATGAGTCTTAGTTGACCACTCAGAAATGGAGGCACCTAAAATTTACCAGTCTCTTGAAAATACTGGCTAATAATTTTACAGTAAATGAAGGTTGTTTTTCCTCGTAAATCATTGCTTTGACTTGGAAATAATCTATATCCTAACATTACAGTGTAGTAAACTAATCTGAGAGTTGCAGTGGGTGTATCCTGGTGAACATGCAGGAAAACCAGTCCCAGAGGATTCTAGAATGGACCAAACTCTCATGAGTGGATCCTGCTCTGAGGACGGGAAGGTTTTTATTGGAACTTCTGAAAGTCACATTTGCCCAACTACCCTTCTTGTAAGTGTACATTCACAAGGAATTAAGAATAGTCCCATTTTGATTTCAACAGCAGGTTTTTTTGACTGCATGGGCATTGCCTATGTGAGGCCATTAATAAGCAAATAAAAAAGCCCCAATAGAGACCTCTCCGTTTTGTGCAGTGTAACCTGATGTTTTTAACAATGACTTTCTCCTATGCCCATTTAACCAATATACTGTCCAATTTATTTATCTCTGTTCCACGCACAAGTTAGAATCAATCATTTATGTGTTTCTTTTAAAATAGAGCTATGTCAAAACCAGTCCCTCAAATCTGAAACCTGGTAAATGTGCAAGTTTATTTGGATTCAAATCCAAGACGAACCTGCATTAGCTTGGATAAAAAATTTAGAGATTTGTTGGCCTAAAATGGTGGAAATCTCACAAGAACTGTCTTTCTCATCAGATTTCTGGCAGTTTGGGACAAAAATCTCCTTAGAATAATTCATTGGATTCTAGTAAAGTCAAATACAAACCCAAATTGTAGCTGGGTGAAGCATTGAACTCAAACCTTGAATTCTGGCTTAAACTTAATCTGATCTGAGCTCTGCTTCCTTGGCCCATCTTTAGTTGAAAGCTTTAGTTAGACAACATGATATACATTCTCCATGTCAATGGCTTTACCAACACCTGCAAGAAAAGGGTTAGATTGTCTTGGTGAGATAGTTTGGTTTTCTGCAAAAGTATTCTGATTGTCTAATCATTTACACTTTATTCACCTTCAACAATCTATGTAATCCTTAGTTTTACCCTGAACTGAAGTTAAACTAACTTCTCTATGGTCTTCTAATATACACCTTTTCCCTTGTGTTATATAAGAGCCAAAATTTTTATTTTAAAAGACATGAGTAACATGAGAAACCTTACTTGATACCTGGAATAGTCAGAAGCTCCTGTATGGAAACAGATCTTTACTTTAGGTCTGTTAATATTCTGGGAGGGTTAATCTGAACACAGTGACCTATTTGGGTTTCAAGCCTGATCCCACAGTGAGTCCTGTGTGGGCACAGGGGTATGTCCAAGCAGAGACGATTGTAGGATTGGGCCTAAATTTGTTTAAATGATCTACGGAAATACAAAGTAAACTGTAAAGTGTTGTATTTAGAATTCACATTTGCTCCTGCTCTTCCACAGCTAAAGTTTTTGTCCATGAATGGGCCCATCTTCGTTGGGGAGTATTTGATGAATATAATAACGATGCACCTTTCTATGTGTCTGTAAACTCTGGAAAAGCAAGTGTTGAAGCAACTAGGTACCAACTTTTTATATTTTGTCTTCAGCTGATGAAATTTTAAATATCTCAGTGATACTTGGCACATACTGGTTATCTGTGTTCAGTCTGTACTTTGAGCCCTGTGTGAAGAGTCTTGGCAAGTTGTTATTCATAGGCAGGGCCGGCTCTGGCTTTTTTGCCGCCCCAGGCAAAAAAGACGCCCCCCCCCCCCCCGGGGCGCCGG